GTGCTGAATCTCTGCTGTGTCGAAACCTCGCAGTTTCTCGGTGATGAGCGCGAGGTATTCGACGAGGTTGTCGTTCTTTGCTTGATATTCGCCTCGGACTTGCGAGGCGACTAGCTGGGAATCTGTGTAGATTCGGATGTCCTTGGCTCCCAGGTCGGATGCCAGGAGAAGGCCGGCCGGAAATGCTTCGTACTCGGCCTGGTTGTTGGTCGTCGGGAAGGCCAGCGTGAGAGAGTCGTCCACAAAAATGGTCCAGACGTGGTTCCTAGCGGAAATGATGGTGCCTTCGTCGTTGTCGAGGACGATGCCGGCTCTGCTCCCCGTGGAGTTGGAGGAGTCGTCCACAAAAATGGTCCAGACGTGGTTCCTAGCGGTGGGTTCGGGCGGTGTGGTCATCTCGGCGACGAAATCGGCCAAGGCTTGAGCCTTGATGGCGTGCCGGCCCTCGTAGGTGATGTCGAACTCAGAGAGTTCTAGCGACCATTTCAGCATGCGTTCGGCCATGTCGGGGCGGCCGAGGAGCTGGCGGATGGGCTGATCGGTGCGGAGCACGATGGCGTGTGCGAGGAAATAATGCCGGAGTCGGCGCGCTGCTGTTATGAGGGCTAGGGCGACCTTCTCGATCAGCTGGTATCAGATTTCTAGGCCGTGGAGAGCTTTGCTAGTAAAGTATATGGGCCTTTGGCCTTCCCCGGATTCGCTGACGAGGACGGCGCTGACGGCTTCGTTGGCCACGACCAGATATAAGTATAGGGTTTCGCCCGTCACGGGATGCGTCAGCACTGGTGGTTCAGATAAGACGCGTTTGAGGTGGCAAAGGGCTTTCTCGCATTCGTCCGTCCATTCGAACTTGGTCTCCTTCCTGAGCAGTTTGAAGAAAGGGAGGGTGTGCTGGGCCGACTAGGCAATGAACCGTGAAAGGGAGGCGAGCACGCCGTTGAGGGACTGGATGGCCTTCTTCGTGGTGGGCATGGCGATATGGGAGAAGGCGTGACACTTATCCGGATTGGCTTCGATCCCCCGTTCGGTCAAGTAGTAGCCGAGGAATTTGCCGGCGCAGACGCCGAAGGTGCACTTCTCCGAGTTGAAACGCATGCGGCACGACCTTGCGGTCTCGAAGACCTTCCGGAGGTGAGCCGTGTGGTTGTCCTTCGTGCCCGATTTGACGATCATGTCGTCCATGTATACCTCGAGCATGTCGCCGATTTCGTCGTGGAAGACCCGGTTCATCATTCGTTGGTATGTGGCTCCGGCGTTTTTGAGGCCGAAGGGCATCACGTTATAATAGTAATTGCCCGACGCCGTCATGAAGGCCGTGGCCTGTTTATCGTGTTCGGCCATCGGGATCTGATTGTATCCCGAGTACGCGTCCATGAAGGACAAGAGCTTGAAGCCCGCGGAGTTGTCGACGAGTTTGTCGATGTTGGGGAGGGGGTAGGCGTCCTTAGGACATGCCCGGTTGAGATCAGTATAGTCAACACACATGCGCCATTTTCCATTATTCTTTTTAACGAGTACAACATTGGACAACCAGGTTGAATACCGGGCTTCCGAAATAAAGTTTGCCTCTAGGAGGTCTTTTACAGCTTTTTCGGCTGCTACCGATTTTTTGGGGGACTGGCGACGCCGGCGTTGCACAACGGCCTTTGCGGTCGGGTTGATGGACAGCTGGTGGCAGGCGACCTCGGGGTCGAGTCCGGGCATTTCTGCGGCGCTCCAGGCGAAGAGGTCAGCGTTCTCGCGGAGGCAGGTTTGGAGCTGTCGTTTCGCGAGGTCTGGGAGTCCGGCACCTATCCTCACGGTTCTGCTCGTGTCTTCCTCGAGGGGGATGAGTTCGAATTCTCCGTCCGGGATGGGGCGTGCTGGGTGTGAGGGCTGCCCGTTGACTTTGCTGGTCTTCGTTTCGTGGTCGAGCTCGTCGGTGAAGCGACTGTCGAGTTCCACGGATCCGACTAGCTTCGTTGGTTCGCCCTTTGGCGTTGTGTTTGAAGCTGTCTTCTTGGTCGCTGGGGCGATGGAGTCTAGGCCTTTCAGCGCGGCCTCAAAACATCTTCGGGCGGCCTCGATGTCTCCGTTAAGGGTCACCACGGCCCCCCGTCTTGTGTAGTATTTAATCTTCAGGTGGACGGTGGAGGGTACCGCGGTGAGTTCTGCTATCGTTGTCCTGCCCAGGATGCAGTTATAGAGGGATGGACATTCGATGACTAAGAAGCGGATGCTGATTTCCCTAGCTGTCTCCTCTTCTCCGAAGGTGACTTTCAGTTCCACGTATCCCCAAGGTCTCGTCGTCGTCCCGTTGAACCCTTGAAAGTCGGAGCCTATGTAGGGGGAAAGGTTGGATTCGTCGAGCTGGAGAGTTGTGAACAAGTGTGAGTACATGATGTCAACCGAGCTTCCGCCGTCGACGAGGAGGCGTCTGACGTCGAAGTTCGCCATCCGTGCACCTATGAGCAGGGGTATGTTGGAGTTGGGGGATCCCCCGGGGAGTTCCTCGAGGTAAAACGTGATCGGGTTGGAGCGGCCTCGGAATTTCTCGAGCGTGCTCATTTTGCAGGAGTTGTTCGCGATGAGTTCGTCGAATTTTCTCTTCACGGACCCTATGGACAGACTCCTCGTGGCTCCATCAAAGATGACCATGGCTCTGGGGAAGTACTCCCACCGGCTGGTTGGTCGGATTGGCTCGTCGATTAGGTCGGGTCCTTCGGGGAGACCGAATTCTCTGCCCGCGAACCAGTCCTCGGGGCGGTTGACACACAGCGTGACCTGGAGCCTGCTGTTGTCCTCTGGAGAGGGAAGTTCCTCGACTTTCTTGGCTTCTGGGGCCTCTTGCCTTGGTGGTTCGCCTCCTCGGGTGTATCTCTTCAGGTGACCGTCTTTGATCAAAATTTTGATCGCGTCTTTGAGATGGATGCAGTCTTCTGTCACGTGCCCGTGGCTCCTGTGGAATCGGCAATATTTCGATTTGTCCACGTTGGGTTTGGGGGGTGTTGGTCGCGGAAAACGGACACCTCCCTGCACGAATTCGGTTTTGGCGCATTCGGCCAGTATGCGCTCGCGTGAAGCGACTAAGGCCGTGTACTCTGTGAACCTGCCGGCTAGGCCGCGCGGTTCGCGTTGTTCGCGGGGCTCGCGGGGGCGGTCTTCTCGACGGCGGTCTCCTCCTCGTCGGTGGCTCGAGGCTCCGTCGTCTCGGTGCCAGCGGGGGGGTCTCCCTGTCTCGGGTGTCTCGGGCGAAATTGGCCGCTTGTGTTTCTTCAGAAGGGGATCACGGACTGGCCACACTCTGTTGGACTGCTGCTTGCTCACCGGTGATGAGGAAGAAAGGGGGGTGTACCTGCAAAACACTTCGATGCCAAAGTGAGAAGTTGGGCAGAGCGATGGCGAAGTACAGAAAGAGGGGTAAAAAGTGTGTTACCTGACCCTCTTGAGGAAGAGGGTATTTATAGAGAGACCCCAGCGCTGGGCCAACGGTCATTTGAGATGGGTTGGACGACCAGGCCCAACCCTAATGAATGCTAGGGCTTACGTGGCGTAGTGAAGACCAGGACGTGGTCTTCGCCCTAGTCCAACTGCTCCTAGATCTCCGGAAAGTGGGTTTGACCTGCTCTTTCGGAGGTGGGCAGTTGGTGAATGACGTGTTCCCGCGGAGGGGAGCACGTGGAGAACGTGCGCCGGGCACGTTGTCCTCCCCGCGGAGGGGAGCTCGCGAGGTTGGGGAGGACCCAAGGTCTCGTTTCGATGCGCCGGGGTGCGTCCTGTTCGGCTGATAAGAGGGGACGGCGAAATGCTGTTGGACGCGTCGCCTGTGTCCGGTGGTGTGTTCCGCCCGTCCTGCGGGGCGCGCGTGCCCGGCGTGGTCAATTGGCTTATTGGGCCGTGCGAGGTATTGGGCTGGACCGAGGTCGGGCCCAGATCAGAACAAAAATATAGTGAAATAGTTAGAGAATTTAACATACAATAAATAAGTGTTTTATTAAAAAAAGTTAATAAATATCCTTAAATAAATAAATAAAAGTTAAAAATCAGGTTACACTCCAAAATGCCTAAAATATCTACCATTTTTGGTTTTCATAGTTTTCGTCGCTAGGACAAACTCAATTCACTATGCAAATTCGATTTACCAAAACCTTTGCAAATTCAATCACTTAAATGTTCACAAACTCAATTCATAAGTTTCTGTGTTTTAAATTTACATACATTCACAAACTCTGTTTAATTTAAGTTTCTGAAATTTAATTTTTTATATATGCATGAACTTTAATAACATAGTTATAAATCAATAATTTATGTAAAGTTTAAAACTTTAAAAGTCAAAATTTAAAACGGGTAGGTGAATTGAATTCTCATTTAATCCTTGGATAAAAAAAAGAAAAACACAAAAATTAATAGTTAAAAATAAAATAAAAAATCATTAATTTAGATAACACAATAATTCATATTCTAATATTTAATCATTAGTTGAATTTTCTAACAAAAGATAATACATTCATCTACTTATTAATGATAATAACAAATTTATTCACATTTCTAAAAGTTTACATTAGTTGAATTTGCCAATTAAAAATAATACAACTTAACATATGCTTATCAAAACAAAAAAAAATGATAGTAACAAATTTAACTAATTTTCTAAAATTTTACGGATAAGAATTAACCATTTTTTTAGCACAATTTTTTGAAGTTAAAAAGGTTAATATTTTATCTGGTTATTAGTAAATGCTGATCTGTTATCTACTAGGTATAGATAAAACAATTCTGATGTGTAAGTTATGTTAGTCAAATATGGGAGAGAGAATAGGTAAGAGAAACAAAGTATAAAATGAGAGTGTTTATAGGAAAACAAATCTGAGCAACACCTGTCCAAACCACACTGGATCAATTTTCAGTGTCTCAATAAATATACAATTCTGTTTCTTCCATATTTTGCACTTGACAATCTCACACACAAACTTGCTTATATTTACGGTGCCTTCTCCAAATTTTGTCACTCTGTCTCCTTCATGACAGTAGACATGGTCCAGACAATTAACTTGAAAAAGTCTTTCGTTCAAGCTAACATGGTTCTTTTTACTATACCTTCATTTCTCTTCGTGTTTCTATTACATTACACCTTTCATTGTTGTTCTGGTTTATACGTGTGCATGGCATGTTTTATAAATAGTAAGAACGGATGGAAAATCTAATAATGAGAGTAATAAAAGATTTGTGATGTGCAGAATGTAAATATGATTTTAGAATTTTTGTTAAACTGGTGTGTTTAATTCTGTTTTATCAGAGGGTGTTCACCTTTGGCAAAGGCAAGAGCGAAGGCAACAAAGGCATGAAGTCTTTGGTAAGCGTTCATGCAAATTCATATTCGAGTGGTTGTCAAAATCGAGAGTTTGAGATCAATCAAAAGTGAAAGGGATCATTGATCTGGTTACAGATCATGATGTTAACCAGTAATTTTATTTGTTTCTTTGCATGCGAAAGCATGAAACACGTTATATTTAGCAAAATAGTACTATTTTTTTTTTCATGAATTTCTTTTTGTATGTATGATGATTGTAGTTGGGAGGAAAGGGGGCCAACTTAGCTGAAATGGCGACGATTGGTTTATCAGTGCCATCTGGACTCACAATATCAACAGAAGCATGTCACCAATATCAACAGAATGTAAAGAATTTGCCAGATGGTCTGTGGGAAGAGATACTTAAAGGATTGAAATTTGTGGAGAATGAAATGGGAGCCTATGTTGGAAATCCCTCAAAACCTCTCCTCCTCTCTGTGCGCTCTGGCGCTGCGGTAAGATTTCTTTCTTTTTGTTTGGATTGAATTGTTTGAGTTTATCTATATGCATAAGTATTTGTGAAATTGTTATAGAAACATCATAAATTCCTTTGTATTTATAGGCGTGCTTTTCTTTGATTTAAACTTGACATGTTTTTTCTACATGTATTAGATTTCAATGCCTGGAATGATGGACACAGTTCTTAATCTTGGATTGAATGATGAAGTGGTTGTTGGGCTGGCTTCCAAAAATGGAGAGCGGTTTGCTTATGACTCTTACCGACGTTTCCTGGACATGTTTGGAGATGTTGTAAGTACTTTGTTCTTTTATGTCGTATGCACCAAATTGCATACACCTTAATCAATGCAATCTCAACCTATTAGTATCTTCCATTGCTTTTTGTTGAAATTTGTTTTGATTGATATATTTAGGTAATGGACATTCCGCACTCATTGTTTGAGGAGAAGATAGAAAACCTGAAGCTATCAAAAGGCGTTAAACATGACACTGACTTAACAGCAAGTGATCTCAAAGATCTGGTTGAGCAATACAAGAATGTCTACATTCAAGCTAAGGGAGAAAAGTTTCCCTCTGGTTCTAAGATTAACACCATCAACTTCTTCATGTTTTGTTGTTATTATGTATTACTATTATTAATTTTTTCATCTTTCCTCTTCTTGATTTATCAATGCAGATCCAATGAAGCAACTAGAATTAGCTATCAAAGCTGTTTTCAATTCTTGGGATAGTCCAAGGGCTAATAAGTATAGAAGCATTAATCAGATAACTGGGTTAATGGGCACCGCGGTGAATATTCAATCCATGGTGTTTGGTAATATGGGGAATACTTCAGGAACTGGTGTCTTGTTCACTAGAAACCCAAGCACTGGTGAAAAGAAACTTTATGGGGAATTTCTTGTTAATGCTCAGGTTATATATGATCATTTACTATCTGTTATTTTACATTTATCTCATTATCGTCGGTATTAATAGTATATTACTGATTACTTTTGGTGTTGACGTTTCTACAAAACTGTTTATAATAGGGAGAGGATGTGGTTGGTGGAATCAGAACACCTCAAGATATCGAGACCATGAAAACATGCATGCCAGATGCTTATAAGGAACTTGTGGAGAATTGTGAAATTCTTGAGAATCATTACAAGGATATGATGGTAAGAAGTTCATTCCCATGAAATTTGTTTTACTGTTTTTCTTCATTTGTTTTGTATCGATAGAGTGGCAGCATGTAAGTCTTCTGAAATTGATATATTATATTGTAGGACATTGAGTTCACTGTTCAAGAAAATAAGTTGTGGATGCTGCAATGTCGAATTGGAAAACGTACTGGTAAAGGTGCAATCAAAATAGCTGTGGACATGGTCAGTGAGGGCCTTGTTGATACTCGTCGTGCAATCAAGATGGTAGAGCCACAACATCTTAACCAGCTTCTACATCCACAGGTATATATTGTTTCCGTTAACTTTTCATTTTCAAATGTAAGGTGCTCAAGTTATTGATTTGTTTATGTTTATTTGTTTAGTTTAAGGATCCATCTCAGTACAAGGACAAAGTGGTTGCCACTGGCCTGCCTGCTTCCCCTGGAGCTGCGGTTGGGCAGGTTGTGTTCAATACTGAGGATGCCGAAGAATGGCATGCACAAGGGAAGAGTGTCATCTTGGTATTGTTTTTTACTATCTCTTTCTTTCCATTCACTGTATTATATTGTTATAGTATCATATATGAGTAAAACAACCATGCATTGAATGAAAATGTGAGGGTTGAATAATTTATAAGCTATGCTTGCATAATTAAAGGTAAGGACAGAGACAAGTCCAGAAGATGTCGGAGGCATGCATTCAGCTGTTGGCATCTTGACAGCAAGAGGAGGTATGACATCTCATGCTGCTGTTGTAGCTCGTGGATGGGGAAAGTGTTGTGTGTCTGGTTGCACCTCTATTAAAGTAAATGATGAGGAAAAGGTAACTTTAGAGACTATACATTGTTGACATATTAGTAAAACATCTTTTTAATTCTTAATGTTCAAAGTAATTCAATATAATCTTCATTTACTTTTCAATATAGGTGGTTGTAATTGGAGATAATAAAATATCAGAAGGTGAATGGATCTCGTTGAATGGAAACACTGGTGAAGTGATACTGGGAAAGCAGCCACTTGCTCCTCCGGCTCTAAGCGATGATTTAGAAACTTTCATGTCTTGGGCTGATGAAATAAGGAATCTGAAGGTGCTATTGCATATTCTTTATTAGCTCCATAGGTCTTGAGTTGAACCAAATCATATAATTCTTGTTAGGTGATTTCATTCGTATCATTGTTGCTTATCAGGTTTTTGCAAATGCTGACTCGCCTGAAGATGCAATAGCAGCCAGAAGAAACGGAGCGCAAGGGATTGGACTTTGCAGGACAGAACACATGGTAGAAATAATATTCAACTCCTCATGGCACTTGAAATCATCATTTTTTAATCAATTGAACATGATAGTAGTTAGTACAGATTATGATTTTGTGCATGCTTTTGCGTGTTTTAGTTTTTTGCTTCTGATGAGAGGATAAAGGCTGTGAGAAAGATGATCATGGCTATTACTCAAGAACAAAGGAAAGCTGCACTTGACTTGTTGTTGCCTTATCAAAGATCAGATTTTGAAGGAATTTTCCGTGCAATGGACGGTTTCCCAGTAACAATCCGATTGCTGGATCCTCCACTTCATGAATTTCTTCCTAAGGGTGACATGGGGGAAATTGTCAGTGAACTAAGTTCTCAGACAGGCGTGAAAAAAGAAGAGATACTCGCAAAGATGGAAAGACTCTCAGAAGTTAATCCCATGCTTGGTTTTCGTGGCTGCAGGTTTGTCCTCTTCTTATAATGTGTAGTCTTGAAGTTCTAAGTTCATTATTTATAGTAATTCCTCATGATACTATTTCAAATAATGTGAACAGGTTGGGAATATCATATCCAGAATTGACTGAGATGCAGGCGCGTGCAATTTTTCAAGCGGCTGTTACAGTGAAAAACAATGGTATTGCAGTTTTTCCTGAGATAATGGTTCCACTTATCGGTACACCTCAGGCATGCTCCTTTTTCTTACTCTTAAGTTATTTTTTCGAATAGTCCAATCTGTTTCATATCTATCATACATAGAATTTGTGAGGAAAAGTCACAATGAAGTACTATTTTGCGGTTTGATCTTAATTCTTGTGACACATTTATTATATAAGTTCAATGCTTTTTAACTGACAGGAACTAAAACATCAAGCAAATCTAATAAGGGATGTTGCTGAGAAAGTGTTCTCAGAGATGGGCTCTTCGGTAAGCTATAAGGTTGGAACTATGATTGAAGTTCCAAGAGCTGCACTTGTTGCAGATGAGGTAATAGTTATGGACATTAGTTTTTAACATACAATAATTAAAATGAATTAAAGAAAAACAATATTGTCGTTTTTATACTTTCTAATTTTTAATCCATATGTGTAGATTGCTAATGAAGCTGAGTTCTTTTCATTTGGAACCAATGACCTCACCCAAATGACATTTGGCTATAGTAGAGATGATGTTGGAAAATTTCTTCCAATATACCTAGCCGCTGGGATTTTGGAGCATGATCCATTTGAGGTTAGTTGCATAATCGTGTGACTTGTAAAATCAAAATTTTGGCAAGGTTGCAAAGTCGTGTAAAATCAAATTTTTTGTGAAATGACTTGTACCATAAGGCGTTGAAGATCGAAAAAGATGAAATACCATTACTTCTAACGCTACTTTACTTATCTTAGGTGGTGCACTTTGCTCATGCTTAATATATTAATGATGTTTTCTAAACTCAAATTATTGACAACAATTACAGGTAATTGACCAGAAAGGAGTGGGTCAGCTCATGAAAATTTGCATAGAGAAGGGTCGCGCTGCTAGACCAAACTTAAAGGTAACTTATAATAGAAGTTTAAACAAATTAAAAAATTATTCTCAATATGTCAATTATGGTGTTAAAACAAATCTTTCTTCTGTTGATAATCAGGTTGGAATATGTGGAGAGCATGGTGGGGAGCCTTCTTCTGTTGCATTCTTTGCTAAAATTGGTCTTGACTATGTTTCGTGTTCTCCTTTTAGGTTCGATTTTCAGTTCAAAATTTTGTATGAAATGAGATATTTCTATTTTACACCCAAATTGAATATTTGAGTTTTTTTTTTTTTTCAGAATTCCAATTGCTAGACTTGCAGCAGCTCAAGTTGCAGCATAAGGAGACGGTTGTTTGTCTGCCTGCGGGACTCTTAGATATAGTTATAGATCTGTTAGAGTTGGTTTAAGTTAGTCAGAAGGCAGTTATGATTAGGTCGAAGTTGGTTATGTTATTTGAAATCACTATAAATTACATTCTAGACCATGAAATTGGTTATGTTATTTGAAATCACTATAAATTACATTCTAGACCATGAAATTTCATTCTATCAATTTCAAAATTAATATTTCTCTCATTTTATTCTTCTCTGCCCTGTCATTTTTTATATCAATTTGTTTTGATTAGCCAAAGTGATTACAACTTGAATCAGTATTCTCTATCCCGCAAGTATTATTGCTATTATGCAGCTTCGCTCTTTTGTTATCATGTAATCTCGGAATCAAAAATGTCTATCATATAATAGACAAAACTCTTAGTTATAAAATAACATGTTCTGATTCCAAAATGCAAATAATTTACTCGTTTTTATTATTAAAAGTGATTTTAGTAATTCAAATGTTGGAACCGGTTATCGCACGGTTTCATCTCTGAACGGAAGAATAGGGCAAAACTTTGAGAGTGTAACTAATTAACATTTGAATGTAACTAATTAACATTTGAGTGTAACTAATTACCGCTGAAAGTGTTTTTATTTTAGTGTCTACCTATTACAACTTTAGTGTAATTGTTTGTATTGAATTCAAATTTTTGTATTTTTCGATAATGTAATTGTTTGTATTGAATTCAAATTTTTGTGATTTTCAATAGTGTAATTGTTTGTATTGAATCTAATCATTTTCTAACTTTTATATTAATATTTTAAAAAATAAATATTTGAGACTATTGAATAGTATTTATTAAAGCAATCCTAATCAAATATTTTCCCCACTTCATTTAATGGACACTCAACATTCAAAAAGGGTGTAATAAAGTAAACTCCAACTTCTCTCTAATCTGTCCTTCATGCTTTTATTCATTCCAACAAGGATCATCTATAAACCAGCATAATGTGCAGCATGCATTTCATAACCGAAACTCTTCATGCATTCTCATTTACGCATTAAACAGATGCATTCTATAACCGAAACTCTTCATGCATTCTTATTTGTGCATTAAAGACGTACATGTATTCTATTAGGATATTATCATGCATTTATCATTGCATTAAGTGTCATTCTTGCTAGTAAGGGTATATGGAGGAAGTTTTACCTCATACCCCTACACTTGTACTTATACCCCTACATTAAAAATTTTTGGACCAAAATATCCTCGTATAAAAATTTATTATTTTTTAATTTTTTTATTTTTTTTTATTTGTTTACCGGAAGACTTTTTGGAAGTCTTCCGGTTCACATTTTTTTCCTTATGTTTACCGGAAGACTTTTTGGAAGTCTTCCGGTTCATATTTTTTCGTTTGTTTACCGGAAGACTTTTTGGAAGTGTTCCGGTTCATTTTTTTTTTTAATTTGTAATTAATATTTAAGATTTATTAACTTTATATAAAGACCAATTTAGTGAATTTTTGAATATTATACTTAAAATATAAAAATTTTATAAATAGAGAATTATTTTCAGAATATTTTCTATTTGCTATAATTATTATAATACAATGAGATTAAAATCATTTATTTTAAATGATCATAATAGTAAAATTTTCTCAAATATCTTATTAATCTTAAACATTAATAAATAAAATAAATTTAAATATAGGATATAAGTTTACTTTATTCAATATATTAAATCAAATCAAAACATATGTGATAAATAAATAATGTATTTTAACTTAAAATGATCACAATAAGTTAACTTGCAAAATAATATAAGTAATAAATTAATAATGTATTTTATTTAAAATAATCACAATAATAGAATACGCAAATAATGTGTTTTATTTATAGGACTGATATAGTTTTATTGATTATTTAATTTTAAATACTACTATGAATATAGTATTTAATCTATACTTTAGTACTCACATAATTATAAATATAAAAAATATTGTTTTATTACCCATATTTTTATTTAATTAAAAAAATAAGAATATAAATTTATTATTTGTTTTTCATTTTCGTTTGATCTTTTTTTATTTATAAATTTTTTTGAATATTCTATACTGTGCTTACTTTAAATAAAATATATTATTTATTTTATTAAAAATATTAAATAAAGTGAAATAATTAAAAAGATCAAACAAAAATGAAAAATAAATAATAAATTTATATTCTTATTTTTTTTAATTAAATAAAAATATGGGTAATAAAACAATATTTTTTATATTTATAATTATGTGAGTTCTAAAGTATAGATTAAATACTATATTCATAGTAGTATTCAAAATTAAATAATCAATAAAAATATATCAGTCCTATAAATAAAACACATTATTTGCGTATTTTATTATTGTGATTATTTTAAATAAAATACATTATTAATTTATTACTTATATTATTTTGCAAGTTAACTTATTGTGATCATTTTAAGTTAAAATACATTATTTATTTATCACATATGTTTTCATTTGATTAAATATATTGAATAATGTAAACTTATATCTTATATTTAAATTTATTTTATTTATTAATGTTTAAGATTAATAAGATATTTAAAAAAATTCTACTATCATGATCATTTAAAATAAATGATTTTAATCCTAGTATTCTAATAATTATAGTAAATAGAAAATATTCTGAAAATGATTCTCTATTTATAGAATTTTTATATTTTAAGTATAATATTCAAAAATTTACTAAATTGGTCTTTATATAAAATTAATAAATCTTAAATATTAATTACAAATTAAAAAAAAAACGTGAACCGGAAGACTTCCAAAAAGTCTTCCGGTAAACAAACGAAAAAAATATGTACCGGAAGACTTCCAAAAAGTCTTCCGGTAAACATACTAAAAAAATGTGAACCGGAAGAGTTCCAAAAAGTCTTCCGGTAAACAAATAAAAAAATATAAAAAAAATTAAAAAATAATAAATTTTTATACGAGGATATTTGGGTCCAAAATTTTTTAATGTAGGGGTATAAGTATAAGTATAGGGGTATGGGGTAAAACTTCCGTATATGGAAAGTGTTTTGGACAAAAGGCCCAATACGAATAAGATCAAGTGCCAAATCCAATAAGGCAGGAAATTATTTATCTCATATCCTTTCATTATTTATCTCCATATCCTTACCAATAAAAAATTTGGATCAAAATATCCATATATAAATATTTATATTTTTAAAATTTTCATCACTCTTAACATCAACAATGTCATCAATAAATAATCTGATATAATCTGAAAATTATATAATGTACCTATTAGAAGGTTTCTTTTTTGAGGTTTGAGATAACTCTGTATCTATCTCTTGTTCACCTTCCATGTTGAGTTTCTTCTAGTGGATATGAATAGCATCGATTGGTATTGATTCACCGCTCAATGTATATCTCCCTAACTCATAAACACAAGATAACCCATATACTTTTCTATGAGTACACTCGCACATTTAGGTGTTTGTACCCACCATGTCAATCCTCAACCACTCTTCAGTAATGTGTCTCAAAGCAACTCTAGATACCGATCAACGCAAATTTCCATAAAATGGACTAGTGTGCGCATGCTCAACTTTATAAAAAACTCTTCTGAAATGAAGTTCTAATATTGTCCAATTGCACCTTTATGTTACCATTCATAGCCTCCCAACATTTGCACATATCACCTAAACTAGTCTCCAACATCTGCTTTAGTTTCCAATGCGCAAACTCAACCCTAAAAAAAATCAGTATCCTTAATATTAAGATAAACAAACTATGGCTAAAATCAGTATCCTTAATATTAAGATAACAAACTATGGCTAAAATTAAGCACCTTACCTATTAGTCGTGGTGTTTCCCAAATGCAATACTTTATTGATCCAAACTTTAACAAATCTATGTCTGTGAGGCTTCAACCACGTGTCTTTCACATAAAAAAATGGTCTAAAATTCACACAAGCGTGCTCAAGCTGTTGCAACTGTTGATGATACTCTACCTCAACATTAGGCCTTACAAGTTCATACCATAGCTTCTCTATCGGCTTTCGCATATCATTCACAACATACTTATTTATTTTGTATGTGTTGTCCATAATCAACACATTAGGAAACATATTCAACAACGTCATTGATTCTAGATGGACCCAGAAGATATCACTCACAACTTCTGAATCATATTTTTTCCTACTCTAATAAACATAATCAGAATCCTCTATGAGCTTAAACAAATGTTGCATTCCCGTACTAGGACCCCTGATGTCTTTATGAATCTTACTCTTATGTTTATATATTTGGGTGATCCAAGTCACATTCTCAGAATCTCGTTCTTGCAATGACAACAATATATGTCTTGGTGGAACATGATGTTTTGTCAAATCAACAATATGTTGTTGTTCATCAACATTAAATCGACCTACAAACGAATGACCTTCAAATCTATCCGGTAAATCATGATTGTGAAGTTCACATTTTACGTCAATCTTCCAACCACAACCATCTCTTGACGATGTTGACCTAATTTTGAATGGACAACCACATTTCTTGGTAGCACTTTGTGTTTCACTATCTATTTCTTTGTATTTTTCACCTCTATCACAACCAAATATAACTTTGTCACTTCTTTCTCTCTCGCCAGTTTTGGTGTCTGAACGAGTTATTATAATAGTAACTTTATTTCTGATTCCATCCTCCCTAATCCACCTAGTTGCCTCTTCTCGTGTATCAAATTTTTCTGTACTCGAGAATATCTCAGTCATATCTACACATGTCTGATTTTTTATCACATATCATCAAAGGAATATCCATATATGCGAAACATAAGTGTGATAAAAAAAATAAGAATTAAAAAAATGCATTTCGGATCTCTTATTATCAAGAAATCTAGTTACTAAAAAAAGAACACTAGAACTCTTCGTTTGAAGTTATCCGAAACTTTAAAAAAATACACCGGAAATCTCATGTTGAAGTTATCTGGATTACATAATGCGAACCATATAAC